GCTTGAGTCACTTATTTAAATTTTCTAAGTCTTTGTTTACTCAATTTTAAGATGTGCACAATCATAGCACCTATCTCATAGATACTTCTTATGAGTATTTAATGATATAAGAAGAAAACTTAACAATACATGGAATATCATATATACTAAAAATTCAATACATTTAAGCTAAAATCAATTTGAATTAGGCTCTTTCTAATTGAAACACATCCACCTACAAACACACAACACACATACACACACCCCCCCACTACGTATTTGCATTAGAAATGCAAATTTACACTTGAAACCTAATAATCTTATCAAGCAATGCCACCTTAATAAATTTAATAAAAAAGATTTTAAATACACACATACAAAAGAAAGAAATGCAAATTTATACATATAATCAAAATATTTGATGGTAGGAAAGTGGTTAAGTAAATTCTGATACATCCATGGAATGGAGTAGTATATAACCATTAATAATAATGAAAGCTTATCCTTTCTTAATATAGGCATGACCACAAGATACTGATTTTTAAAAAGCTGACTGCTAAAGAACATACAATTAGCAATGTTTGGTCCCATAAACCTCAGACATATACTCTAATAACATTAAGAAGAAAAATTTCCCATCACATTACCTTCTTATCTCCCACCCCTTCTTTACCACAAATATCCAGGCACTTGTACCTTGTATCACTCTTTAGGTTTGTCTTCTGCACCAAAAACCTGGCCATAACTGTTTCAATGGACAAAACCTATGACCTCTTTTCAATATTTATCTTACTAAAAAATTTCCCCTTAGCCACCTTGACATCATGAATGCTCCTTCCTTAAGCGAAGCCAAATCCCATGGTTTCCTCTTACTTTTCTGTCTACTCTTTCCCCACCTTTTACTTGCATCTCAAGTGATGATACACTTGAGATCATACACCGGGGCTGCCTCTCCTCGGCCTCCTCCCTCATTGCTCCACATCATTTCCACGGGTCTGCAACTCACTGCTTGGATGAACTCTCCTTCACCTATACGCCAGTGGTTAGTAATCCCAGCCCTGTTTTCAGCCCTAGATTTGACCTTGTTCTAGAGAATCAGACTCGGTTTCCAATTGATTACCCCTTATCAATTTGGCTATTTAATAGGATACCCCCTTTAACTTCTCTCAGGTAAGAGTATAGACAGCTTGGTTACCAATCGAGAAAACCTGCGGTCATTATTAACTCCTGTCATCCCCAGCCTTCCACATCGAATACAATCTCAATTCCATACTTGTCTCTCCATTCGTAGAGACTCTCTCCTGGAGAAGACCTTCATTTGGAATGTTGGGCTACTGTAAGAAATTCCTAAACGGTCTCTATTAGCCTCTCACAACTCAAAGCCTTTCTAGACACTGCACTTTGACGATAACTCTGGAAACAAACAAAATCCTTATCTCTTGTACAAAAGCCTTCTTTGTGGGCGCATCACTGGAGAGAGCATCCTGGCTTGGTTCACTGGGCCTGTCACAATGTGGTTCATGGAACTTTTCCATAGTTATCTCTTACGTGCTGCCCTGTGCATGTGAAGCAGCCATCAACCTGAACATCTCAACAGTCCCCAAACAAGATCTATTATCCCTTGTCCCCATGCCTTTATGTTTGACGTCCATTTTGATTAGAATATTCTTCAATACTCTTTGCCTAATAAGTTCCTATTCATCTATAAACAACTTTGAGAAGTCTTCTTTGCTGCCTTATGGCAAACTCAGAGCCCCCCTCCTTTGCAGCCAGCCCCTTAGTACTTGGCCAGTGTGATGCTTCTCACTTTATGAGGCCTACCGGCTCCTCTTTACCAAAATGACTACAAACTAGCTAAGGGCACCAGCCATGTGCCTATTACAGTGAATGCTGTGTTCTTGCTAAGTGTTTAATATAGGTATATATTTTGGTAATGATGATAAACTGTAAGGGTAGGGACCATGTTGACCACGTAAATATTTATCTGATATTTGCAAGTGAAGGGTAGCAGAGAGGGAGAAAGAATTCATCCATCCCCTTTAAGTCAACCAGATTCATCCATGGAGCCTCCTGAGGGAAAGCATGGGAACCATATTAGCCTCGCAGACCCCTGAGATCAGGTGCAGACGTGGTCTGTGGGCTCAGAGGGTCCCGCGCTAGGAGAAAGGCAACTAATTAGCTTAGAGGAGGCCCTTCTTGTTACTATCACTTCCCAACCCCCTTCCTGCCCACAATTCCTGTATTTCACTTAGAGCAATATATGCAGCTCTTCCACTCCATAGCCACTGGTGTTAATGGGATACCCTAGCCAGCAAAGCTATCATTTAGAACTAATGGTCAGATAAAGAACTTCCTAGACAAAGAAAAGCTAAAGGAGTTCATCACCACCTGACCAGTACTACGTGAAATGTTGAAGGGCCTTCTTTAAGAAGAAGAAAAAGATTAAAAATATGAACAATAAAATGGTAATAAATACATATCTATCAATAATTAAATCTAAAAATTAAAATAAATGAACAAGGAATCTAATGAACAGAATAAACTGATGAGTAAAGTAGAACCAGAGGCATGGAAACATGGGACAGACTGACGAATCTCAGAGGGAAGGGGGAGGGAGGTGGGAAGAGATTAACCAAAGAACTTATATGCATGCATGCATGACCCATGACACAGACAACAGGGTGGTGAAGGCCGGGAGTGGGGTGGGATCCAGCTGGAGGGGGTAATGGGGGAAAACAGCAGGGACATCTGTAATACTCTCAATAAAGATTAAAAATATCATAAAAAAAGTTCTAGTTCCCATGACCATTCCAAGATTACCTAGTGCATCCATGCTTGGATGCCTCACTTTTGTGAAAGCCCCCCTGTCAAGCAAGCCTCCTATACTTCTTAAATTCAAAGGCTTTGAACATATTCCAAATGTGGACAGCCCTATTTGGAAGTTTTTTAAATGAAGATGATTTTTTCCTCTCTTCAGTCTTAACCTGTTTCCCTTTTCCATACTCTGAAGCCACACAGACTATATCTACTTCTTGTTTTGCATGAGGCTTTCAGATATAGAGGACATTGATGTCCCATTTAAGGCAAGCGTTTTCCAAACTAAACTTCATTACGCCCTTTGCTGCTCCTCATGTAACATGATTTGTAGCTCACCCATCGGTCTGGTTATTTCACTCTAAGTAACATTCAACTGTCTAGGTTTCTCTTAAAATGGGTGGTCTGAGTCAGGTGTGACCAAGCTAAACCACAGAAGAGCTCAGCAGCCTCATTCTAGATCCTCAAGGAAGCCTAATGTTGAACTGGCATTTGGACAGCCATTCTACAACATGCGTTTGGCTTAAGTTTAGGCTCAATGCAACTCATACGTTTTGTGTTTTAAATTAGTTTTAATTTTTTGCAGCTCCCAAGTCGCCCTCCCTTGAGGACTTTGGACTAAAGATTTCTAGAAAGGATTCAGAGGATAATAATCTGGGGCTACGCTTTGAATCATTTCTTCCATTGATTAAGTCAATGCACCGATCACTTCAGAATATAAATAGGAGTCATCCTGACAGGACATTCTGAATACAGTGTATATAGGAAAGAGGGAAGTAAAAGTTGGAAGATGTGGATAGCAAAATCCTTTCTATATCTCTGAAACTAATCTACTGCAAAGGTAATTCAAATTGTATATGCATGGTAAAATAGCATCTCCCAAGGTGCATTTTAAGAAACATCTGTTACATGGGATATTAACTGAGATTAGTGGAGAAATGAGGAACATCAGAATAAATAAAAATAAACAAGGTAAGTCCTTTTAGGGCCTTAAATTTGCAAATGTGAATTGTGACATCTCAGACCTAAGAAAACATCACATTTTCTCAAAAGGCTGTTAAAAGTCACAAATTTCTGGACTTCACCCTGAAGATTCTGATTTGGTAGGTTCACAGGGAGGCCCAGGAATGTGTCTTTTGAACGATGGTCTCAGGTGATGCTGATGTTACTGGTCAAGGAATCGCTTGGAAGACCCACTGGGATTTGACCATGGAGAATCCGATGACAGTTTTCTAGAGAGCATGCTTTCAGGAATAATATGCTAAATTCAATACTACTTTTGGCTACTTAGAAAATAAAATGGTCATAGAAGTCATTTTTTAAAACTGAATGACAAGGAATATGGAGTTCACCTTTCTTTTACTTAACTAAAAAAAAAAAAAGTCCATAACCATTTTTCTTCCCAAATAAACTGCCTAAATATCCCAAACATGTCTGCTTCTCTAATTCCACGTTCAAAATGTATCTTGCATATAGAAAGCTTTGGCTATGGCAACATCTACCTCGGAAGCAGAAACAATGCAGAGCAATTATTCATGGACATGTTGAATTGATGGCAAAGTCCTCAGGAAAAACGTTTTGAGTAAGTGAGATGATGAGTTTGGCATGAAACTGCTATGGGACAAATAACTGCAGGTCCATCCTAGTCACCCTCACATTGATCTGTCATGAAATTCACTGGCAAAATTAAATCATTATTATTTGTCTCCTTTCACTTAAAATATACTTTAAAATTTCATCCTGAGGAAGTGTGTGATTTGGGGGAGAGACAAACATTAAGATTGGAAGCACTTACGAATGCAAACCCAAGCAAAGAACAACTGAAATACGGCAACACATGAAAATGTCACATTACTGTCACAAAATTTTGCTCTTTCTAAAACAATATATAGCTCCAAAGACACACACATATATCCACTTACAAATGCAGCACACACACTATCATTCTGGGAACAGCCAGCTACTATACATTGAGCACCAACCAAATAGCACAGTTCATCTCAATTATTACAAATAATACTTGCCCTCCCTTTCTCATTAATTCTCTCAAGGGATGGCTTTCTAAAAAGAGAAAAAAAAGTGGATTCATAAGAATTTCAGAATTCTAAGATAAAATAGCAACAGCCACATACATAGCTGAATAAAAAGACGAAACATGGATTTTTCTTAGTAAAATATAAGCAAGCTTCTTTGTCTTTTAAAGGTACCTGCAAAATGTGACTTCCCAAATGTGCTTCAAATACTTCAATGGCCAGTGCACTGGGGCTTCTCCTTCGTTGTGCACCTATAACTTAAAGAAAAAAAAAGAAAAGAAAGAAAAGAAAAGTGGGAAGAAGAAAAAGAAACAGAAAGGAAGAAAAGAAAGAAAACCATTAAGTTGGAGCTCTGATTCATACCTTCAGCTTAATTTCTCTTTCATCGCATCACTAGCTCTATGACAATGGCATCTCCGGGAAACACCGCCCCGCGTTAACTTGGCCTGGGCGGCCTGAGCATAAGCAGAGCCTACGTGGACTTTTCAACTCTGATAACAACAAACCAAAGCCCGCTTTTAAAAAACATTCATTTTGGACTGTTTTTACTCTACTCGAGCTAAAACACGAATGTTCACATTCCTTTAAAGTAAATTAGTAAACTATTTTTCTTAAAATTTAGGTATTTTTAAAGTACAGACATACTGCATTCCCCCCGCCAGATAAAAACCTGAATTTTCCCTATTCTCTAGGCTAGAAAAAAGCAAGCAGGATTTAAAAGAAAGTGTTTTAATGCAACAACTTTATCATAATTTAATAAGCCCAACGTGTTGGAGAAGAGATTCTCATTAATGACTGTTTACACTAGTGTTAAGTGTCTCGGGATAGCTGGATTTGCCTATTTGCTGAACACTCACATGTCACTATTCTGCAGGCTCGCGGAGCAGCCCAGGTGGCCTCTCTCCGCATGTGCCCCGCCAGCTCGGGGCTGTTTTCGAATCGCAATATTCCCGCTCTCCACTCACTTGCACGGTCGCTCCTGCCCTTCCTGGCGTGCCCTACAGGTGTGTGTGCAGGCCCCTGCACAAGGAGCCCCCAATCCTTAACAAAAGTGAGCTTGGCGCAAGATATTTGTGGCACCCACAACTGATCGGATTCTCTATACACGTTTTGCATGGGGTCACTATTTGATTTTAATCTGTTCTGAATATCCTCCCCTTTCCTAAATTTTCAAACATAAAAATCTGTTTGATTTATAGTAATTTATGAAAAATAATTCAGATCTTCTCCATATTTCCAACAAGTAAATTCCCCGTGTCTTCCTGCTTTTCTTGAAAATTTTATTACACTCAAACTTAGACACTATGAATTTAAAATACAATAAAACCCTCCTATTTACTTCTAAAAACCTCTTCTAGCTAGTTGACAAAAAAAACTTCAGCTAAATGCTGCTGGGATAATTCTGTTTCGTTTCAGTTACTAAGTCAGTCAGTTGGATCCATAGCTTAGTAGGGATTATAATATAAATGTACTTGTGGTTATTGTGCTGTGCAAAAGTAGGCAGTTTACCCCCGCAATTGTGAGCCAGTGTTTGCCGTGTCTGAAAGGCACTTTGAAAATTGCATGAGTGTTAAGTATCAGTATTACTGGCAAGAAGAAATAAAAAGGGCATTTTGTTTCAATGGCAAAATTTATAAAATATAATTGAAGGGTGATTATTATCAAAGAATATTCCAGCTGGCGGGGATCTCAGAGATCTCTATTTCAACTTCCTCATTTGCTTCAGAAGGAAAACACACAACTAATAATCTTAAAACAGAAAAATCAGGTTTCTATCCTAAGTTTAATTTTTATAATTATAGGCACGAGACAATATTTAAAAAAATTTAATATTCAGATATACTTAAGACATTACTCCTCTCTCTGTCTCTCTCTCTGTCTCGTGTGTGTGTGTTTCTGATTAATTTCCTATTCTAACACGCACATTACTCCCTTCAAAACTCCTTTGGCATTTTTGATAATGCAGCTGTCTTGCTGAATACTGTTTTCAGTTTCTAGAGTGTTAATTGCACATTATGGTAGCTTGGTGTGAATGATCCCATATGAATAAAATCTGCAGTCTTTTTTTAAAAGATTTTGGGGGGAGGGAACTAGAGGGAAGGGGAAGTTGAAAACTTCAAAGGTGTCCATTCTGTTTTTGAGGCAGTAATTCGGATCCAGAAATCTCCATATATATATATATATATAGACACATATTTGAATCCTCGCCTGAGGATATGGTTATTGATTTTAGACCGAGGAAAAGGGAGGGAGGAAGAAGGGAGAAAGAGGGAGGGGGAGAGAGAGAGAAACACTGATGTGAGAGAGAACACTGACTGGTTGCCTTCCATACGTGTCCTGACCAGGGACCATATCCACAACCTAGGTATGTGCCTTGACCGGGAATCAAACCCGCAACCTTTTGGTGCACGGGGCGATGCTCCAACCACCAGAGCCACGCTGGCCAGAGCAAAAGCTCCATATTAATAATTCATAATTTGGGGGCATTTCAGGGCTTCCAATCACAAAATTCAAAAGAAACCATTGCACCTCACAAAAGAAAATGAACTAAATTTAAAGAACATAGACTTTTCTACAAAGATCTGGATTAAGAGGGGGCCAGTAAAGTCACCAACCTATAGAAGACCCTAAAACATCACAGGCAATGAAAGGAATGTGTTTATTTACTAGAAGGTCCAAGAGGCATGTTCCAGCAGTGACAGAGGGCAGCTCAACCGACTTCTGGAAGCACAGGTGACTTGAGCGGGTGCTGCCAGGTTATCCAACCCTGCCCTCGATGGCTTTCTTTTCCTTCCTTTTCCCCACTTAGGACTCAGGCTGTCCTCTAAGTAAATGCTGCAAATGCATGAATATTTAGGGGATTTATTTAAGAAAAGTGAGTCAACCTGGGGATCCCAAATGTCTTCATCAGGCCCTACATCCATGAGTCCTACCTGCAGAATTATTCCCCTTTGTCCTTCAAATCCTCTAGAAATCTGAGCATGCATCCCAGTACATGCTAGCTGCACACACAGGTATCTTATAAGTGGGTTCGTGCCATTCTATTCAATGGCATTTTTATGGCATGGAATTTCTCCTGATTTATATGTTTTGCACTTAGGCAGGTGATGTGGGGCTGTAATGACAGTTCCTAATTTTACAACCAACATAAATATGTTAAACAGGAGCCCATTATGTCCCTGGTAGAAGACCAGCTCTGACTCTAGCATTATTGGTAATGAATAGATGCTAAAAATGTACTTCTTACCTTGTACTTTTTATCCCATCGCATGTGGCATTTTGAGATTGAGACAGTAATCTGATAACCAGGAACAGTGCAAATATAGTTATTTTGTTTCCCCAAGTTAACCTCATCGTGTTTATACAGTACCATCAATGAATAAACAAAACTAAAGAGGCATTTTCCTCAGTAGGTCCTTCACCCTCAGGAAAGTAATACGTTGCTGATGAAGCTCTCTCAGGTTTTGGATTTTGGAAGTTGACAGTTTCTAAAACCATTTAGTAGTCCAGACAAAATGCGCATTTATTACTGCTGAATAGGCCACTGTTTCTTCTGATCATTTATTTGTTTGTCCAATTAAAAGGTGCTACTTTTTGAAACTTAAAGAACACTAACTAAATTAACCGAAACGAATGTACACAGTGCATCGCTAAATAAATGGAACATGTAATTGACTATCTGTGAAGATTATGTCCCTACTCACGGAGAGTGAGATGTGAGAGTTTTAGAAGTTGAAAAACTTATACAAACTGTTAAAAGAAAAAAACCCATCAAACAGTAGTAATATAGTCATTCAACTTCAAAGGCAATCCAGCATTTACTGAGTACCTATTTGATGTTTAAAACTGCTGATTACTGTTCCTTATTATAAAACTTAAAAAATAGTCCAAAAGAAAATTTAAGCCATTTAAAACAAACCTAGGCCCAGCATATAACTATCAACAAATACCGCAACACTCCGCAACACTATTAGTTCATGTTGTGCAATGGTTAAAAATAAAACACCTAGAGTTTTTAATAGAACACCTGAAGATTTTAAATAGAAGAGACATATAGGAAGAATTCTTTAACATCAACTAAAGAAACACGGATTGACTCAGAAATCGAAAGTGATATGATGAATCAACTGTACAGTTGGCCTTTCTCCCATGAAAAAAGTGGAAGCCAGGGAAGAAAACCACAACCTGAAACATGTATGTGCAAAATTAGTGCTTGCCCCTCAACAATTATGGCCAAAATGTTCTAATCTAGACTGTTCTGAATAGTGAAGACAGTATCTAGACTCTCCCGCATAACCTTGCGAGGCAGTCTTTGAGAATTAATTCAGTGCAGTTAAAAACAATCCCTCTTTGGGGAAACAGACCCCACCCCCCAGTCATATTCCTAACCGGTGCTTGTCACCTTTGGGGAGGTACAGATGCCAGAAAGGCGGAGGATTAGCCCTCAGTGGGAGTCTGACCTATTCAGCCAAAAGGTCAGCTTGCCACAGAAGAACCCATTACAAAACAGAAGCAGGACAGCTCAGTGGACACACATAAATAATGGAAGGGGGGAAAGTGAGGAGCCCTACTTGCCTTGGGGGCCCTGGGCTGCCCTTTTCCTTCAGAACCCTCCCCACCCCCATTCCCAGAGAAGGGGGAGCTGCCCCAGCTCCTCACCGACACAGTTCACAGTGGGACAATAACCACAGGCCGGGAGAGAGAAAGGGGCTCGTTTATTTAAGGGATCACCGGAAAAAGACATTTAAAAGTGAAGATGAATACGACATCGACATCGTGAGGGTTTCCAATGGATTGTTTGATTAGGAAAAGTAGTCATTGGCCGCTAGGGGAGATCGTTTTAGAGACAGTGTCACCCAGTCCCCCTCCATGGGGAACAGTATGTGGGCAGGGGCAAAAGTTGCCTTAAAGCTCTGCGGGTAGCATTTCAAGTGTATCCACCCAGTAAAAAGGCAGCTTCATGCCGGGATGGCTGCCCGGGAATGGGGGGGGGGCAAGGCTCTGTTCCCACAGGACGCGTGGGGGAAGGGAGCGCGCTTATTGGAATCTCGGCCACCACTCCCCGGGCTTTGGCGCTTGGGCGAAGCCAAGTCAGGGCTGGAAGGAGTGGAGGACAGACCGCCTCACGCGACTTCCCACGGCTCCCGGGGAGAGAGAGGGATTTCCACTAGCCTCCCTCACTGCGGGGCAGAGGCAGCCAGGGAGGCTTTTCCCAGGACCCTTAGAAGTTTACGAGGCATGTATGCATGCATGCATA